CTCCTAGCCTAGCCTAGGGTGAAGTGATCGAAGCACATATAATACATGAATGTTACGTACGTTCTAAATCAAATTTGGGTCATGCGTGTTGGCAATCTGTGTGGAGTGCGTGGGGAGTTGGATTCTAAGTAAATGTCGGTTGTGAAATTGATTCACTCTAGTATACGCGACAAAATTAAATTTCACTTGACCTATATATTTTTGATTGATACTCCTTACATGACTTGAAAATATTGGATTTTGAACATGAATTCTGTTCACACTACACCAAACCCAACATAGCTTCCTAAAAATTGGTTGGTCAAATTCCCGACTTGACCATGCAATCAGCACGCATATATATGATCGAGTTCTATAGATCATGTTGTTCAATAAAGAGTATGAAAATACAATTTGATAAAAATAAGGTAATACTCCGTATATACTATATGAATGTATAATGTTAAAGAATACAAACATATATAAAGTTTTATTTTGATGCAGTTTAATGCTTTAGTTGTATTTAAGTAGATTTTTTAGTGCATTCTTCATCACATTTTTTGTATTTAAGTTTTTAGTGCATTTTTCATCTCTTTTTAGTGCATTCTCCACCTTTCCTATTTGGAAATTGGAAACCCATAAGTAGTTCAGTTACTACATTTAGTAAGAAAAATTGGGCAATTATTAAAAATGCACCTAAAAAAGATACTCCCTAGCTATTAGGCTTGTTTAAACCAATGGAGATGGAGTGGAGCCATTTTGGTTAGCATTTTTTAAATTTTATTATTAGTTCATTTCTTATAGTTGTGGTGTTGGAATGGACTCGGGCTCTGGGGAATCGCACACGGCCCATCATCCCGGTTTTGAAATGAAGACCATATTAGGGTTGATCACAAGAACGATAACGTATGTGCTATGTCACCCCGGTCCCATGATTCGGGGGTCGTACGATACTCTATTCTTAAAATTGACGGTTCCTACCACTCCCGGTAAACCCTTCGCCCGAACCCACTACCCCACAAATTCATTCTTCTTTCTATTAAAAATTTACTTATTTCTCTACTACGCAGTAATTCATATCTTATTCACATCATATGTTTTAACATAAATCTATATATCCATCATATCACATATATTTTTCGAAAATCAACATAAAAATATACACCCTCCGTCCTAAAAAAGAGTTCCTACTTTGAAAAAGTGGAAAAATGAGGAAGTGTTAAATTGCAGTTGACTTCCAATTTTGTCCTTGATGTGATGGGTAAAAGTAAGATATGATGGATAAATTATTAGAGAAAAAGTATGATGTGGTAGGTAGGGTATGAAAAAGAAAATTGATTTTTTAATATAAAGTGGAAGTGTTTTTGGTGGAAGTAAAAAAATGAAAGAGGAAGTATTTTTGAGAACGGATGAAGTATGTCTTTTTCAAAAATGAAAATGAGAAAGTCCTTAAGAACATATGGAGTATCGAAAACAAATTGTTTGGTTAACATCAATACACACACTCTATCTTGGACAAATTAATTTCAACCACACAATCTTACCTTTACAAAACTAAACACATACCTAACATTATTGAGGCATGCATTTTTTTAAATGTGAAAGGAACATGTAATAAAGACAAACCATACAAATATGATTCACTTAAAAACATAAACAAAAGGAAATTGAACAAATTAAAATTGAATACCAACTAACGCACATGGACTTATAATATGCTCGCTGTTTTTGGTAACAATGGTGAATATGTAGTGAGTTTTGTGTTGGGCACATTTATAAACACAATGATATATAAACGAGTAGCGTTCTTGGTTAAAGCTAAAGTATGGAAAGCAGTGATATGTTGGGTACTAATATACTTTGGGAAGGTAGGGTTTCTTTTAACATGTTTTGTTTAACATGTGATGGGGTCAATTTATGGACCATCCCAAACTCATTTAATTTGCGCATTTTTTTTGGAAGTCCCAATTAAATTTGTGCACTTTCTTCCTACCAAACTCATCCCTATATAGAGTAATACTAGAGTCACAAACAAACAGTTCACAAAATTCACAAACTTGTCTTTTTAGCATTTTTCTAAAGATAAGATGTACTCAAATAATAAAAGATATTTTAATTTAAAATCCACAAAAAGCAAGTTTGTGAAGTTTGTGAACTATATGTTTGTGACTCTAGCATTTTCCCCCTATATAAGTCCCTATTAAATTTATACAATTCCCCTCTATAAAGAATTGATGAGAAATATATGATGATGTGGAAAAGGGGAAAATGAGGAGAATAATTAAAATAATTAAAATTTATACAATTCCTCTCTATCTAGTACGGAGTACATACTATACATACAGTCTCCTAGCTTCCTTCTCCCCCATCCGGCCGGCCAGCATAAATTCTCCCCTCCCTCTCAGCTCTTCCCTCTATTTATCATATCATATCCCTCCTCCTTCCTTCCTTCCTTCAATTCTATCCCGGCCTGATCTCCATCTCCACATACACTACTAGCTTACAAATCAAAATGTCCCAACTAAGTATTTGGAAGGGCGTGTTTATTGGACTCGCCTGTCTTGCGGGCCAGCGTGTATGCCGGCTCCTCCGTCGCCGCCGCCAGGAGAAAATGACCGCTGCCGCCGCCACAGCCGGAGATGCGGCCTAGCCCCCCCCCCCCCTCAACTCATTGACGTTTCATTAAAATCTTAGTTGTACGTGTTTATTATGCATGAGTACTACTCTTTTTCTTATCTGCGTTAGTTTGGTTTGCTTGCCATTTTTCATTTTCTTCACAGACTCAACTTTTAATTTTGGACGCCGGCCGCCATTGATTAATGATGTATGTTTCATTTAAATCTCGTTGCGGTAGCTAGATCGAATAGATTATTATTGATTAAATTTTTGATTCGGGTTCGGGTTTCGGATGTAAATTCGGATTCGAGTCGGATCGGGTTTTCGGCTTAAAAAAATCGGGTTTAGGGTCGGGTTCGGGTTTCCTTTTAATAATCCTTGATTTATTAATAAATAAAATTCTCCCTTCCTTTGTTTTAATTTGGAGCTTAACCAGAGGATGGGTAGGTTATCTATGTTCCCATTTCCGGAAATTTTCTAGCTAGGATGGGTTAGTCTTCTGGTTCCCACTTTCCTTTCCTACGCGCACATAAAAATTACTGTAAAAATTAAAAAAACACAAATATATATATATATATATATATATATATATATATAAATGCACACTGCTATGCGTAGCTAGGTTTTTTATATTTATGCATGGATACGGCTCTGCTTCACGTGCATAAAAAAACAAGCGTTGCCCATTTAGTTTTTGTCCTAATAATATTAACTGTGTTTGTCTTGTATGGCAAATCAAAAGAGTCCCTGAAATTAAATCTGGTCTATCTTTGACGTAAACTTTTTAAATATATACATGCATGTGTATGTGAATATTATATATATAAAATAAAAATTAATTAAATAAACAACATTTTGAACGTGGTGAAATAATAATAATGCAAAACATACGAAAAGTTAAAATTAAAAGAAAAAAATACGCATAGTACTCGATCATTTAAAATTGTTCAAACATATAAAAAATTAATAAATTAAAATTTAAATAAAAAATAAGGATTATGTAGGAAACACTATATTTATATTTGCAATGCCAATATGTACTCATTTTTATTTAAAAGTGCTTATATATGTTCAAAAAGAACTGCGTGTGATTCTTGCTTCTTTCAAGACATGCATGTATCAATTTCTTTATATTTTGAGTATTGAGCCATGTATTATCTCATGTTTCTTTTTTTAATTTTCTTTTTTGCATGTTCTCTGGTAAAAATAATCAAAGAATAAAATTCTTTTTTATTTCTGTATTTTTTGGGATCCAAACTCACTCTTTTTATGCTATGCAATTTTACTATGTCATTTTGAGAATTTTGTTTTTCAGACTTCTTTCATTGTGTTTTTTTATTTTATTTTTTTCTTACACATTCTTCCATAGAAAAAGTCTATAATAAACTCTTTTGAACTATGTTAATGATTTCTACCTTTTTCTGGTCTGTTTCACTTCCCAAATCTCATGCTGTCCAATAATTAATACTCCCTCCGTCCCCAATTTGATTACAAATTGCGGGTTACGGAGTAAAATTTCCTACTTTTTGAAATCATTTTATTTACAAATTGATACTCCGTACATCAATAAGATATAAAAATTACGGAGTACATATTTAAAACTACGTCAAAAGTTTTACAAAACAAGAGGTGACAAGAATATTTTATTTTATCAAATACTTAATGAAATCGCATAAACAAACAAAATTTATCGAGAGGAGAGAAAAAAATTGTAATCTATTTAGAGACGGAAGGAGTAATAATATAAGATGCATTTGAAATAAATTAGTTTGACAATATTTTGAGAGGGGGAGAGTACAACATAAAATCCATGCTAAGCATACTAGTGCACAACTGCACATACATTGTTATCTTGTTAGTTTACTTACACTTTCGTTTTACATTTACTTTTAATTAAAAAAAAATGCACATTTAAGAACGATAGTCATTTAGTTTAATCAAATTGAGTCATTTTTTTGGCACACCCTTAACATTTAAGTATTTAAGGGACATTTTTGGACCACCCTTTATATAGAGTTTTAAAAGATGTGAAATTATAAAGTTAAACTTTGTACGAAAAAAGTTGGTGCAAACCAACTAACTTTTTTCAAAATGGAAGAACTAATTAATACTCCGTAATTATTAACATCTAAAGAAATTTGAAGAATAAGAAAATTGCAAAGGGAGTAAAAAAATGCACTATTTGTTCAACCCAAATTTCACCATATATGTAATTAATTAAACTGGCTCAATATTGTTCTATTGATTGAGTGGCTAATTAATTGCATGTGTAGTAATTCCCAAATTAAAAGTGCAAACACTCACCTAACTAAGTACTTGTAGATCCATTTGATTAAGCCCTTTTATTAGAAATTGGAATCTATCTACTATTTTCTGGGTTAAATATAGACCATCTATCTTACTACAAAGTTAACAAAAATGTTTGGTAAGATGACATAGTAACTAAGTTTTGATTCCATCCATAATTTTAATTTTTAAATTTAATTTAAGAACCACATTTTCAATTTAGATGGAACCATCAAATTGTAAGTTTAAGTTTTCCCTAATCCCCAGGTAATTATGTCCCTATATAAGACATGATTCACTGGGTAATTTCTTCACAATAGCTAAAGAAGCAAACATGAAATCCATAGCCAAACAGCATTACCAACAATGGAAAACACAGTAGTGATCTTTAAGTTTCATTTTTAACTTTTTCTATTTTCAAATATCAAGTATTCATTTATAACCTAGTGGGAAGAATTAAAAAATGAAATGCCTAGAAAATGCACTAATGCAGGTTTATGCAAGAACAAGTACCCCATAAAATATTAGCGAACATACCTTATTGCATAGAAATTTGGACGAGAGAATACTTTCAGATGGGGGAATTTAAAATCAGGGCCAAGGTATTATGCTGTGCTCACGTGATCTGTCATGTTTAACAAATAGAAAGGACATGAGCTAATTGAATATACACTTGCGATTAAGTCATAAAACAAGGCAAGGGCAATAAACTACAAGTAAAAGTTCCATCCATACACCATTTACCAAATAATAAAAATTCAATGAATGATATAATGGAGAATGATACTCGTATATATGCATCAATGAAGTCTATGTAACAGTAAATGGCAGCAAAAATAAAAGATAAAGCAATGGACACACACATATCCTTTAACTACTAGCTGAAATGGTAAAAAAAATAAATAAAATAAATCACCCAAATCAATATCATCAGACAGAATAAGAAGCCAGCAGTCACGGATTCGCAGATTGATGGTCTGCTCTGTGATGTTCATGCGAGCAGTGAAAAGGCAACAAATCTGCTCTGGATGTCGACCTTCCTGTATATCCTCTTCCTTTTTATCTTTGTGTAATCGTGTCTCTCAATCTATTAAAAGAGAAGAAATAAAAGAATCGATATCAATATTAAACTTTAAATCTTATAAATTGTACTATGTGATAAAGCTAATGCTATGAAAGACAAATGATTGGTTAAAATGATCACTACCTCCTTGAAGAAAGAAAATATGCATCTCCTTTTATTGCTTTCGTCTGCACTCTAAATTTTCTGAAAAAAAGTCACATAATAAGAAAAATCAATATACCTAAAAGACAAAGTTAAGAATAAAGAACATTTCACATCGATATGTAGGGTAATGTTTTGCAAAAACAGAGTAAATAATATAATCACCTCAGAAGAATAATGAGAACACTAAAAGCAAAAACTTTCGTTATTTTTCACAGAAGAAACTCATGATATGAATCTAGAATGAGCTACCCATATTCAAAAAGGAAAAAAACCCATAATAAATTCAAGACAAACAAACAAAAATTAACTCGGTGAATCTGTCGACAACTTTGGAAGAGAAAGAATCATAGTCTCATGATGAAAAAACATAAATTCATTACTATTTTTGAAAGTTAAAAATTAAACACTAAATTCATTTTATATCTAGGACATAAAGCATTATAAGGTCAAATTGATGAACACCACTTGCAGTGCTCATGCTTATTTGACACTTAGCTCATTTTTACTTTTTTGTTCTTGAAGTTACAACTAACCTTTTTTTTCACAGTGATAGTTGCTATTCAATGTTGTGGGCATTTCATGTGATGTTTACACTCAAATGGCACTGACATTTTGGTGACATGTTGCCGCTTAGAGATGACTAAATGCCCCATGTAAAGTAGTGCATCTGTAAAAAAACAACACAAAACAAATTAACAACTCTTGTACCTATTTCGAGCATGGTAGGAACCATTATGAAAGCCTATATATATGGAGAATTTAGAGCACCACAAATATATAATTTTAAAGTTTCACACAGAATCAATTAGGCCAGTCCGTCAATGTCAGGCATGTATTCTGCATCAACTAAATGTGCAGCAAGTCCAATCAAAAAATCTTTCATGCTACTGTCCTGTCCAAGATGCATTTTGTGACTTGAAGAAAAACAATACATCTTGCTATGCAACTCTGTCCAACTGTAACCAGTTTCCTTCTTCAGTTCTTTTTGTTTCATCATCTTCCTCATCTCTGCAGCTTCATCCCACATGTTCAACCTCGCATAAATATTCGACAATGTAACATGGGCTGATGCATCATTTGGATCAATTTTTAGAATCTCCTCTGCAGCGTATTTGCCCATTATAAAATCTTTATTCGTGATGCATCCTGACAAAAGACAACGCCAAACCACCTTATCTGGTTTTTCAGAAAATTTGTTAATGAGGTCATAAGCTCTTTTTGTATGTCCTTTACGTGCGAATAGATCGACCATACAAGCCAAGTGTTCGGTCCTCGGGGTGATCCCATGCATAGTTTTCATGCTGTTGAAGTGGTCTAACCCCTCCTCTAATAGCCCTCCATGACCACACGCGGATAACACTCCAATGAATGTGATGTCATTAGGCTTAACCCTGTTTTCCCGCATCATATTGTAAACCTCCATAGCTTCTAGCCCAAACCCGTGTTGCGCGTAACCCACGAGCATAGTGTTCCATGACACCAAGTTCTTACAAGGTAATCTATCAAAGACTTTTCGTGCATCGCTCAATCGTCCACATTTGGCATACATGTCAATCAGAGTGCTTCCAACAACCACATTGGATATGAAATCGGGCTTCATAGCATGACAATGAACTTGCTTGCCCCATTCAATGGAAGGCAAATCCCCACATATGCTCAAAATGCAAGAGTATGTATGAAGATTAGGCTGGAGCCGTCCTTCATCAATCAACATCTCTTGAAGAACCTCTATTGCTTGTTCATAATGACCTGAACGGATGTATCCAGTTATCAACGTGTTCCAAGTTACAATGTCATGTTCGGACATTTCTTGAAAAATCTTCAAAGACTCACCGGTTTGATTGCTTATAGAGTAAAAATCGACTAAGGCATTGCAAACAAAGGTGAACGAATCGAATCCATGTTTTATGATGAAAGAGTGGAGTTGTTTGCCAACTTGAAACTCCCTTAAGTCAGCAAAGGTTCCAAGGACAGATGCATATGTCCTCTCACTTGGCTTCAACCCTGAAGAGAGCAAACTACAGAAAATATCAACAGCCTCCCTCCTCTTCCCAAGATGCACACAACCTCCAATCAAGGCAGTCCAAGCATGCAAATCAGGTGCACCTTCCGTGTTAAAAGCCTCGCGTGCCGAGCCAAGTTGACCACACTTTACGTAAAAGTTCACCAACGCGGAGATGACATGTTGATCCATTTTCACACCATGTTTAACAATCAGGCAATGAATTCCCATCCCCAGTCTCAAACACTCCATTGAAGCACAAGCACCCAGAGCAATCCCACAAATGAATTCATTGACCAGCACTCCCTCCCTTAAAGACTTCAAGAAAATCCTCAATCCCTCCATGTACTCCCCACCCTGGCAATGGCAAGAAATAAGCGAGGCCCAAGTGACTGTGTTTGGCTCCATAATGGCATCAAACACAAACCGAGCTGGCCTCAACAACCCACATTTCCCATAAAAGTTAACCAGGCAATTGGATACAAAGCTATTTAACGACATATCGGCCCTGACTATCCTCCCATGTATCTCTTTCCCAGTTCTTGTGGCTCTCAATCTACTACAAGCAGATAATGCACCCACGTAAGTGTAATGGTTTGGAGCAAACCCGTCTTCAAGAACCATTGATCTGAAGCATCCTAGAGCCTTTTCAGGCATTTCCAAATGAGAATAAACAGAAATTAGAGTTGTCCAGGTGACTACGTTTCGTTCTGGCATTCCGTCAAGCAGTTTCTGGGCACACCCTATTTCATGGAATGTCAAGTACATTGACAGCAAGTGATTGTTTGTATAAACGTCCGGATTGGACCCAGAAATGATTAGCCGCGCATGGACTGCTTTGCCACTAAGAAAAGAATTCGTCTTTGTACATGAACGAATAATCTGAGAGATAGAAGACATCTGCATCTGGAGGCAAACGTGAATATGCATATGAACTATGGAAGGGTAGATTTAACTATGATTGATCATTAATCATTTGGTCGCACGGAGGCGCTGGACTGTTGGAGTCCCGCCGCCGTGGACGGTGGAGCGATGCCGACGTCGAGGCAGACGGCGAACACTCCGAACACGAACAGCAAAACGAGAAGACCGGAAAATGAAAGAAGCCGGCCCCGAGACGTTTTTAATTTTCAATAAGTAAAGCCAATTGGGCCGCTTACAAATGTTAGGCCCTTGCTCAGGGCTCATTATATGCTCTTGGGTTATGCCCGCTTTGTAACTCAATAGAAAAAGCTTCTTAATATTTCGGGTAAATTTCCGGTAGTACCCGAATTTCGAACAATATATTTCAACTAAACACATAAATTTTATTCTCTATCGGAAAAAAATCTAAATTTTACCAAATCTTTTAACAAAAAGATTTTAACACGTTGCAAGTCATCTCTGATTATTTTGCTTGTGTGGAAGGTGATTTGGCTTCTAACTCAGCATTTTTAGAAATTTTACCAAAATTTTTATCAAAAAGATTTTAACAGGTTGCAAGTCATCTCTAATTATTTTGCTTGCGTGGAAGGTGACTTGGCTTCCAACTCGGCATTTTTTTACATTGACCTCATGTTCAATGATGTATTCAAGTGTCTATTTGATGGACAATACAACAGTAATGACTATAGCCGTGAAATAGAATTTCGGTTAGAGAAAAAATTTGTAGATTATGATTATAGTGGATTAGGACTCAACGATACATCAGCTTTATCTAAAAACACACGCTTTTTTAGCAACAAGATGCAAGAAAAGCATTTTGAATTTTTGATTCATCGTCTCTTCATCTTCATTTTCCAATTTAGAGTAAGGCTCTATTTTCAAACTATCCTTTTCGTGGTGGCTGAGGCGCATATTGTGTTTTCTGGCTTGTCATTCTTGGCATTGGGATCTATAAATATTTAGTGATGAACGTACAGGTACGAACTAAAGTTACTCTTTCTTTCTTTAAAACCTTCTTTGGAATTCATTTCTTTCTCTCGGGGGTTTTCATGTAACCGGATTGTATGGTTGGGTGTCCGACTGCTTGCATTGGCTATGACAAGAAGGATATGTGATCGTTGTAAAATTATACTTTTTAGTCCCCAATTTAACACCAACAAGACAGATGATCAAAAGAGGACTAAATATAGAAACATATGCATAAAAGAAGAACCAAAGACGTAATATTTGATAATTATATAATTTACTCGTAAAACAATAGTGTAGAAAATGAGGTACTAAAGTAGAGTAAGTGTGGCATTGTTGTATTGTGTTCCTTTTGAATGAGCAAAATCTTCGCGGTTGAAATCTGTTATACCTAATCTGTTAGACTAAACTAGTGTAGCATTGCTCGTTCTCTTTACCTAATATGAATAATGTTGATCTGATTAAATAAGTTATGATCTCATTTGATTTGATCTTGTCTGATTTGATCTGAACATAGTTATATTTAAAATTGTTTCTGATCTGATCTAGACTGATTTAATAAGAAAAAATTATAAGTAATAGGAATAAGCTACTTCTTACTCTATTCCTGTTTGCTCTGGTGATGGATGTTTTGTCACAAGATTTCGGAATGGTTTAATTTACACTTTTATTATTTGAAATCTTCAATAACTTTAATTTACCTGTGTGATTTCGTTGATCATTTAATAAAATAAAATATTTTTATCACATTTTGTTTTGTAAATTTTTTTATATAGTTTTTAAATATAGAATTTATACTTTTTATTTCTATATTAATTTATAAATAAACTCATTTGAAAAATATTATTTTACACGTTGTTCAAACATGTAAATGAATTTAGAAGGGTCATGAGAGTATACCGTAGGTATTGGAATTCCTTTTTTTTTTCATTCACTAAAAAAGAACACGGCTCCCACACGAATTAGAGATGGAGATTGGAGAATAGAATTAATAAACTATTCAACTATAGTATCTGCCAGTGTCCGATCTGCTGGATTTGAATTTGGTTCTATGTCGAATTCTGGATTCCTACTTTTGATTTCTCTTTTGCTAATACAATTGAGAAAATGAGTTTGCAATACCCTTGATTTTGTGATAATATTTCTCAGGTATCATGTTATCTTAAATATATTTCTGAGTATTTTTTGATTTTTTAGTAGTAAGAACTCTCATGTCATATATTATTCAAAATATACTCCAAAGATCGTTAAAATTTGAGATAATGTACTTCGAGAGTACGTTCCATCTATTTTTCCGTTCTAATTGAAAGTTCTCTTATTTTAAATATTAATTTTTACATTGATAATCATTATTTTATTAAATTTAAATAAAGTTCTTTAATTTGTCAAAGTAAAAAAAAACGTTAAATCTTACCCATAAATTGAGAAAATGTACCCTTTGAGTATAATATCACAAATTTTATGGATCCCGAGTGTAGAGTTTTTACCATAAAATCAAGAATACACTGTAATATACTCCGTCGTATAATGATCTTCCCGGTTCGCAGAACGAAGAAAAATCCCAAGTTTTTTCAATCTATTTTATTTAAATATTGGTATAGAAATAAAAAATAAAACATACATATTTAAAAACTACACCAAAAGTTCAACAAAACAAGTAGTGACAAGAATATTTTATTTTATCATATAGGCCATGAAAAAACACAAATAAATATAAATTCCCGTGAAGTTAGAATAGTGCTCTGGGAAGATCATTATAGGACGGAGAGAGTATTTCATATAATATCAGATCTAAAAGTTATTGCCAGCAAATTGAGGGTAGTCCAAGTAATTTTTTGAATAATAGGTACCACACACACATACATGCATGCACTTGGTATTAGGGCCATTCATTACCGGCCCAAACCGTTGGCAGACCATTTTATTCTCTACCAGAAGCTGCATGTGTTCGATCCGATCTGCCGCAGCCCGGCCCGGCAATAAATATACTGTCCTAATTACATCTACCTATCCTCTCCCGCCATCTGGACTAGAATAAAAAATTTTCTGTGCGGTTCACTTTTTTGGAGCTGACATCAATTAATTTATGGGGAGTAATTAAATACGGCAAATTATATAATGAATCTATATTTTTTTACCATTTAAATACGTATCTTTTTTTTAGTAAAAAAATAATAAATTATGTGAAAAGGTACACAAAAATAGTGTGCACTCAAAATGTACCATAGAAGCACTCATAAAATAAAAGAGTTAAACATGTTTCTTTTTTTAGTAAAAAAAATAATAAATTATGTGAAAATGTACACAAAAATAGTATGCACTCAAAATGCACTATAGAAGCACTCATAAAATAAAAGAGTTAAATATGTTTTTAGGAATGCAATCTTCATTTCTTAAATTTCTTAGGAATATAATATAATAAAAATTTGGAAATTGAAGATATAATTTGATATATAATAAAATTTAGAATATGAGAATTGTTCCTAATGTAATTAGAAATGCAAAACTAAGCCGTTAAGTATAAAATAAATGTGTTATATCAACAAATTAAAAGACTTAATTATATATAAGGACCATTTTCAAAATTAATTTGTTGAAAGAATTACTTAAGTCAAAAATATTTACCAGGACAAAAAACAAAACTCGCCTATTTTACATTGACTAAAATCATATCTAACTTTAAATAAAAATTATAAACTTTGTAATATATCAAATATATAAAGAGTACAATTCATAATTGGTACTTCCTTCGTTTCCTAAAACGATTCTTGTTCTGACTTAGGAGAGATTTATTTTCGTAGTTTGACATTTTGATTATATTATTATCAATGCAGTAAAAGAGAGATATATCAGTTAAATGAATTATTATATCAATGCAAATTGAGTTGAGTACATACTGCAACGACTTAATTTAGATATATTAGTCATTTTTAGAAAAATGATCGTATATTAGGGGAAACAAAAAAATGAAAGAAGATATTGTTTTAAGAAGTGGAGAGAGAGCATAATAACATGTGATTTTCTATATTTAATTCTCAGTTATTATATATTGCATTGGTGGTTTTTAATTTTTAAAAATTGTTTCATAATTTGGTCTCTAGCGAATATATGTGAAAAAATATTTAGGCATATAATTATAGAATACTAGTTGGATATAGAAAATCACATATTATAAGGGATAATATAATTATAAGGGATAATTTATAAAATTTACTCTTACATAAAGTAAAATTTTGAAGGTATTTTATGAGATATATATAATTAAATAAATTATACTTTAATCAATATATAATATCAATTTTATTTAAATAAAAGTCAAAGTTTACTAATTGTATATGAAAAAAGATCAAAACCAGACTAATACTTTTAGACAGAGGTAGTATGTACTTATATATAGCGTGGTAATCTTATGTTTTAACGTTTTCAAAAGATTATCCACTTAATATTTCTCTTTCTCATAATACTCGGGGCATAATGGTATACGGAGTATTTTACTAATCATATGTGAATAGTTTATTGAGTTCAAAAAATGGTAAAATTTTATTCATTTCCATAATTATTTTTATCATTTATTTGAAAAAATAAAATATTTTAAATATTTTTTTGAAAAACAAAAATATTTTAATTTTTTTCATCGTTCATATGCCTTCTTTATTTTGTTTTTTTTTTTAAAATTTTTTTATTGATTATTTGTTAGATTTGTGTGATTATTTCGTTTGTGAACTTTTTAGAAATCTTTCCTCTGCGGGCATCGGCTGGTCGTCGTCGTCTCAACGTTCCACTGCGGCGAGCCGAGAACTGTCTGAGATGCGCACAGTAGTAATAAAGAATATAGAAATTACTTATTTTCCCCAAACATTTTGTTTCCAAAACTGAAATTGGAAACAGGTAAAATATTCGCCTTGGGAGAATTTATGCTCAAGGAAGAGTATAAGAATGAGGTGAGGGCGCCGAGAGGAATTCCGGAACCAGAATATCTTTAGAGGCCAGCCGGAGCTTCACACCGGAATCCAACTCACAATGTGGAGAGTTGTTCGATCTGCGGCGTCAGGCCTCCGCCGATCCCGGCGATTCTCGACGGCGATTCCCGGCCCCTGCATCGTCCACAAGCGTGGAGCAGATATTCTCCATGATCCTTGGTACAACAAGGTCAGGTCTTTTTTTTAGCTCCTTTCACTCTATCAGTATTCAGTAATGAAATTTTGATTCTGATTTTTTTTCATTCCAAATCATAATTAATTTATGCCGATTTCGCTTCATCTTTGGTATGAGCTCAGTGCAGCTCCTGGAATGGTTTTGTTCTTTTCTTAATATTGATTTCGATTGTAATTCTTGTTGATTGGGTGTGGGAGGAGGTAGGGTAAGAATACTGAAGTTTGTACTCTTGCAGTGTTACTGCAATTGGCCATTCATGGTGCTATGGTAGAGTTCAAGAACTAATATTCTAAATTAGGATCCTTTTTAAGTTCTCCTTACCTTGATCAAAACAATAATATTATTGCCTTACAAATTTGAGCATTACTGATATTTTTTCTAATTCTCTTTTCTGATATTTTTCCCAATAATCAGGATACAGGCTTCCCTTTGACAGAAAGAGACCGACTAGGACTTCGTGGTCTACTGCCACCTCGTGTTATTTCTTTTCAGCAGCAATATTCACGTTTTAGTAAGTTGAATATCTTCAGACTCCTGAGAACTTGTGAAAGTTCACCACAAGCTATATTGTATTTTCAATGTATTCTATGATATGTGCACTCCAATTCAGGCATTGCTGAGTTAAGTGTTCAGACATCATGTCAATAATTGATTTCTCCATTTTCAATATTGGTGTTAATTAATTTTAGAAAATTCACTGGCCGAAGTAATCGGGATGAAGGTGGTGATGATGAACCAAACTCTGTGCATCTTTCTTATATGAATTATTGATTTCAACCTTGTTTTTTGTTTAGTTTTCTAAAACTACCGAGTTCAGATGTAATAAGGGGCTCATTGCCGCATTCTATGCTCTGTGCATATTCTATTGTACCAGCGGATATTTACTTCCTGTGTGCACTAACAACTGTTTTTTGTTAAGGGGAAAACATGTTTGGTGTTTAGTAAATTTTCTCATCAAGAATGAGTGCATGTCTAACACATGGTTGTTCTATTCTTTGCATAATCAGTGGAGTCATTTCACTCACTTGAGAGAAACACTCAAGGGCAACCAGAGGGTGTTGTATCATTAGCAAAATGGAGGATGTTAAATAGACTACATGACAGGAATGAGACACTGTACTACCGTGTGAGTCTGCTGATACATATCTGTTAGGGTTATAATACTTAGTGGCTTTTGATTTGCTATTTTCTTAGGATAACTTTGGTCGGTGTCTTATTTTGCAGGTTCTTATTGATAACATTAAAGATTTTGCTCCTATAGTATACACTCCTACCGTAGGATTGGTGTGCCAAAACTACTCAGGGTTGTTCAGGCGCCCGCGTGGGATGTATTTTAGTGCCAAAGACAAGGGAGAGATGATGTCTATGATATATAACTGGCCTTCCCAACATGTACTAAGTAAACCTTGTTGTTCTAAATTGTTTTTAGTGCATATCTAACATTTATTGCTTGGGCCTATTCTCTTCGTCTGATCTTATTACTTTTGATCTGAAGCTTTCTGATCTGGTATGATTTGATCCGATTCTAATTAAAGTTATAGCGGTTTCTGATCTGGTTTGATCTGATACCATTTCAATAAGAATAAGTATTAACGAATAAGTAGAAAAAATAACTTGAAGAGAACAGGGCCTTACTTGTTCTTAACTGAAACTAAATTATCATTCAATCCACTGGTAAAAGAAATTTAAAAAAAAATGCTTTTGAGGTTCACTTTAATTCTGAATCTCCTAAAACTTAACCCTACATACTGCTGATTATGGATTATTGTTTTGCATACTAAAATCATTTTTCCAGCCAATGAAAGTTTTGATTAGGGCATATCCAATCTTCGGGGTATTTCACCTTTTAGAGCAAAACCATCTTATGTAATTATTGTTTCAAATGTTTGCAGGTAGACATGATTGTTGTAACAGATGGGAGTAGAATTCTTGGCCTAGGTGATCTTGGAGTTCAGGGAATTGGCATACCCATTGGCAAACTCGATATGTATGTTGCAGCCGCTGGTATTAATCCACAAAGAGTAAGTGCTCTGTTTTTGGGATTTAAAAGCCATCTGCTAGTTTCACATGGGGGTCAATGTGATATATGAATATCCATCTGCATGCATTTAAGATGCTTACAACATACTTTCCTCCGTCCCAAAAGATGTGCCTAGTGTGACTGGGCATGGTTTTTACTATAGTGAAAATTGTGTGGATGAAATTTATGAAAAGGAGAGAGAAACACATTGAACAGCATTAAATTTTCCACATATAGAAAGAGGCACATCTTTTTTAGACGGGCCAAAAAGGAAAACAAACTACTAAAGAAGTGTTTTTGGGACAGAGGGGGACAGAGGAAGTAATAGATGAGATTGAGTCAATTGGCACATTGTGTACAGTCAAGCAAATAACATTTGATGTTCTTTTTTTTAACATTTGGTGTTCTTTATAATAGTAATAATAATAAAAATTATCTTTTTCTCTCTTGTTACATTGCTTTTATAGATCCAGCATGAATAATACAACAACTTATCAGCTACTCCCTCCGTCCTATATTGATCTTCCCAGATTGACTTTAGCCCATTTTTAAGGAATGAGTAAATATACCTTTGACCTTCCAAAAATACCCTCATTCTAAAATTTGGAGAACAGCCCAACTCCCATCCAAATTAAAAAAAGAACGATCCCTCTTTCTGGCGAATTAAGCATCGGCGGCGGCTCAACTAATTCCTCGGTGACAGAAGCGGTGGTGAAACAGAGGATTTTCTTTGACGGCGGCAATCGGAAAAACAGAGGATTTTCTGGGAACAAAATTTTTGGATCTCCTAACCCATCTCGTTGCCAAGCAGATCTGGGAACAAATTTTCACAAAAAAAAATACAGATTTAGATCTCCTAACCCATATGCACCGCCGACCCCTTCTGTACCATCTGGATTTGGATCTCCAACCCATCTGCACCATCTCGATTTGGATCTCCGAAGCCATCTGCACCATCTCGGTCATGTAGATCCACTAACCCATCTCGCTGATTTGGCTTCAATAATTAGATCCGAAAGAAGAAAGGGAGAAAGAAGAAAGACAAGAAAGGAAAAATCTGAAAAAGAGAAGATAGAGAGAAGGGAGAACGAGAAAGAAAAGAAAGGGAAGAAAGGGAAGAAAGAAGAAAGACAAGAAAGGGAAAGAGAGAAGGGCGAACAGGGAGAGAGAAGAAATGGAGAATAAGAACAAATGAAGTGGGAAGAGAAGGAGAAACGATGGAACTAAAGGGTATTAAAGTCATTTATCTACTTTTTTTAGAAGGGGGAAGATGATTTTAGGACGGAGAAAAAAGGGAAGTGGGAAGATCAATATAGGACGGAGGGAGTATAATTTAATGATAATGTTCCTAGATGCAATCATAACTATGCATATTTCATTTCTTTTTCTTAAAATTTTGAACAATATCTGCTCGATTAATTTACCTTGTGAGTATGTTTGACAGGTTCTTCCTGTTATGCTTGATGTTGGAACAAACAATCAGAGGCTTCTTGAAGATCGCCTTTGTGAGTGAAACCATATTAATATAATACTGTTTTTTGTGACCCTTCTCAAAACCCCCTTTAATTGATTATTCTCATTTTACTGGTGTATATAAAGGTTTATTGTACTTCGGTGCCCTTTTAACTTTGAATTCCTCTTTTTATTGTTTCAACTTTCAAATTTTGTAGTATGAAGAGGCAAAGTGACTTACAAACACTTTTATTTGATTTCCTTGTCCTTGTTGTCTGGATTAACTGCAAAGAGTTACATAATTTCTGTTTTGGCAATATAACAAGAGTTGACGTGGCATAATATTATACTTACAGATTTGGGATTGCGGCAAAATAGGTTAGAAGGAGAAGAATACTTATCAATAGTTGATGAATTTATGGAAGCTGTTCATGCTCGTTGGCCAAAGGCGGTTGTGCAGGTTTACTTTATTTTTTATGTAATGCTTAACTTAATTCGCTCACTAGCAACATTTATCATTTTGAAAAATAATGTGCAGTTTGAGGATTTTCAAGCAAAGTGGGCTTTTGAGACTCTACATCGCTATCGGAAAAGATTTTGCATGTTCAATGATGACGTACAGGTAGTTTTCTTTATGTTTGAACTTCTGTCTTTAGCTTACTGTTAAATTTGGGTATTCCCCCAAATGAATCATCAAGAGTTGAAGTTTACTTCACACATATACCAGTCTAAACTCAGTAAACAACCAGTAATGGATACCTAACACACACCTTCAGGCCAAACCAAGCTGGACACTGTGCTCAAACACACCCCAAAACAGGCTGCCAAACCATCTGAGGTGTCGCCCAAACCAAGCTCTCTTTCGTAGCATGTTAAATTTGGTCTAACTAACTTCAAAAGGATTTTCAATTGGTAAGGTTTACCTCACACTTTATGACTAAACTCAAACCCAGTAGATGATACTCAACCCATATACACACAGTTTATTGGCATCTTTGCAAGCATCTCATGTTGTGATTTTTTTTATTTCAATGTTCTCATTTTTTGCAGGGAACTGCGGGTGTTGCTCTTGCTGGTCTTTTAGGAACTGTCAGAGCCCAGGGACGCCCTTTGACTGATTTTGCCAACCAAAAGATAGTTGTGGTAGGAGCAGGAAGGTAGTTCGAACATTCTACTAATAATTAGTAACTACAATGTCATTCCACATTTTTTATGTTTTCATTGAGCTGTTAAAAATTCTCCTGGTCCTGGCATATTTTTTTGTTATATTTCAGTGCCGGGCTTGGCGTTCTTAACATGGCAATGCAGGCTGTTTCAAGAATGTCTGGACCAATGGCAAATCCTCACTTTTTCCTTTTGGATAAAAATGTAAGAACAAGTTTTACATAAATATATTTCAAGTATACTCTGTATTTGTTAATCTACAGTGTGATCAGCCTAGAAGAGCACACATAAATTCTTTTTTTCTTCATTGTGTACTAAATACTAATGCGCATCTACTTGTGCAGAATAAGTAATAGGAGATTATAATTTATTAGGAATAGGAATCATATTAAACTTCAAAGTGCCCTCCACCCCCACTTTTTTCAGTTGATATATTACCTGATTATTTGAGGTTTATGGGTTATGATGTAGGGACTTATCACAAAAGGTCGGAAGGATATTGATCCAGCAGCGCTGCCTTTTGCTAAAGATCAGCATGAGATCGAGGGACTAGGACTTCACGAGGGTGCAAGCCTTATTGATGTGGTAACTTTAGTGGAATAATTAGGGGCTGTTTTAAAAGTGAACTTTTTTTACTATGAAAATATATACTTTTATCATTTGAAAACTAACACAGAGTATAAAATGTTGTTCAGGTTAAAAAGGTCAAGCCCCACGTGCTTCTTGGTTTGTCCGCTGTTGGAGGTCTCTTCAATGAAGAGGTGCGTCTTCATCACTATCATGCCTTCTTGCACCACCCACTGCTCTTGGTTTACCCCTTTTTGTTGGATGTGTCCCAAAAAATGTTTGGTTGGTATCAGCTGCTGCACTCTAATCAAAGTCTCACTATTTGTTACATATACAAATAGGTGCTTAAGGCAATGCGGGATTCAGATTCCACTAAACCGGCCATATTTGCCATGTCAAACCCCACAAACAATGGTTGGTCTTGATTCTTAAAGCCTTTCAATGTCACATATTCATTGTTTTAATACTTAACATTTTGTATGTTTACATTTGTGGGATTTGGAACAGCTGAATGCACTGCCGCTGATGCTTTTAAGCATGCTGGTCCAAATATTGTGTTCGGTAGTGGGAGTCCCTTCGACAATGTTGACCTTGGTAGGATTATTTTTTCTATTCTTTAATCTCTCTCATGTCCTATTTAAATTTGTTCTCTTAGTAACTACTGCAATTTTTTTGGTGGCCAGGCAACGGAAAAACAGGTTTTGTGAATCAAGCCAATAATATGTACCTGTTCCCGGGGTATGCTGCTGATCTTAATACCATTTTACCAAACAATTAAATGGAGCCCAAAATCATTTTTGTGGATTTCAGGATTGGTTTGGGAGCTCTCCTTTCTGGTGCCCGAATAATTTCTGACACAATGTTGGAAGCTGCTGCTGAGCGGTATGGATTGACATCTATTCCCTTTGTCCCAAAAAAGAGTCACACTTGAAAACTTTTTGACAAAAAAAACTGGTTTCCAATTCTTCATTATATTTATTTTTCCGAAGTGTACCAAATAAATGAAATATGTAACTTGTTTGTGGAGATAGAGACGTAGTATTTGTTACTGGTCCCTTGTTTATGAGGCATAATCCTCCATAGATACTCTAAAATTACTTGTTCCATTGTTGCAGTCTTGCTTCTTATATGTCAGATGAGGAAGTCAAAAGAGGACTTTTATACCCTTCCATTAACAAGTAATCATCCCATATTTCCTGATTCATTCAGTCCCAAAATCTGCTTTGGAAATGCATTAACACTGCAAATTTATGAGGCCAAAAACTGAGTTTCTTACATATAATGTTGTGTCGTAGCATTCGAGACATAACAGCAGAAGTTGGAGCGGCAGTTCTGCGGGCAGCTGTTGCTGAAGAACTGGCAGAAGGACACGGCGAAATGGGCCCCAAAGAGCTACAACACATGTCAAAGGTAATAATAAGCGCACGCGCACGGCTTCTGTTTGTGTTGGTAACTAGATTAAAAAAAGGTGACTTATTTCGCATTTTTCGCGTGACGTGTCTGAATGCAGGATGAGACTGTTGAACATGTGAGGCGGAACATGTGGGCCCCGGTTTACAGCCCTCTCGTTCACGAGACCTGAGGTTTCATGGGTCGCCTACAGTTAGCCAGCCTTGCCACCATGGCTATAAGTCTATAACTACAGAAATTGGTTTTCGTGAAGCTTTATCTGGTTTTGTTTTCATTTTTGTTTGGCCTCTTTATGAAGCTAGTTTTGTTCTCTACTGTACACGAATATGCCATATAAGCCTATATTTCCTTGATTCTTTACTCATCATCATAAACATAAGGACCATGCTACACTTACACCAAAACATATACCCCAAATGTACACCACAGGTTTGCACAAACATTTCGATGGTTTACACCGACACAAATGTTGGTGCGTTAATAAAAATTCACACGGACACGAATGTTGGCGCGTTTAACAAAAATTAATTTTACACCAACACAAAGTGTTGGTGCAAAACTGCGGTGTACAAATTGGGGTACAAATTTTGGGGTACACATAGCATAATCCTAAACATAAAACCTCATCTATATATGTGTTGTACCAAACAGCCAGCATTCATAATTTGATTATTGGAGTGGAAATTTTTTAAAACCATTAAACACACTATGATTGTTTTGGAGGCCGACATATATGCGGTCCCAAATATACATGTGCATTCCCATTCTAGAAGACGGTTACACTTACACTTTGATTGCACAAAAACATCAGAACCAGTCGGACCCATAGCATAGTTGCCCGAGGTCGAATTCGGTTTTATCACTTTTGGCATGCCTTGCTCAACCAAATGAGCTATGTCCACTTTGAGTTCCCCCTGTATTTGTCCACATTTGACTTTTGGAACTGTTCATCTAAGCACTTTGACTCATCAAATTCTCTCAATGTGTAAGCCTACATATAGTCATGTGTGATCTTGTTTTATTTGTCTTAACATATAGATTATTAATATATAATTTTTATAATTTTTTGATATACAAATTACAAGATAAAATGGATTAAAGAAGTGCATTGGATGGTGTGTAAAAATGAAAGTGGACAAATACAGGGGGACGAAGGGAGTATATGAAAAGTGTTAAAATATGTACTAGACGGTTACTTCAATTTGACTTTTTCAAGTTAAATTGGACGAACTTCAAACCTCAGTTAAATATAGAGTAGTAAATTTTGTCATTTATATTAGTTAAAAATATTTTTATTTTATTTAACTTATTGAGAATTTTTATATTTTTGTACGGATTGATAATTTTTAAAATTTTATTGCATTGCATGAATAGGTAATACAAGTTGAGAGTAATTGATCTCTAAAATTTATCTAATGTAATTCAAAAAAATTAAACTAAATAAATATACAAGGAAAGAGAGTATGAATCAAATAAGACCAAATCAAAACAAATTACCTTAGATCATAACAAACCACATCATAAGACTGCTTGTAATTTTCGCCTTTCTCTCTCTCTCTCCTCCTCCCTCTCTCGTGATCCTCCGTGGCAATGCTATGTACGCGTGCTTCACTATCTAATATCATTTTTATTTAATTTAAAGTTCAAGTTGATCAATTTTGATCGAAAAGTAAAAAAAAGGGTAGATACTCAAGGATGAGTACTTATAATATACTCCATCTGTCCTAAAACTTTTTTCTCACTTCTCCTTTTTCTCCGTCCTAAAACTACCTTCCCATTAGAAAAAAAAGATGATAAATGACATTAATACTCTCATGTATTTACACCAATTATCTTCTAATTCTATATTTTGAATGATTGTAAAAAAAAATTCAAAAAATCTTTTTTAAAGAAGATAAAATTTAAAGTCAAAGCCAAAAATTAAAAATGAGGAAAAGTCAAACTGGGAAGAAAGAATTAGGACGAAGGGAGTACATAAAAAGGACACATACTCAAGGACAAATACTCATTATTGAGTAATTGAATAATCATTTTCGAACCTAACTGAATTTTAAAAAGATAAGTATTCAGTTGCTCGAAAATAAATATTTAGTTACTTAAAATGAGCCTTCACTATTCAACTGTGGAGTGTGAACATGTGAGTCAGTCATTTGACCATACGAGAGTGTCGAGCTGCAAAACAAGATGATGGCTGGTGAAGTGGAGAAGTCAACATTCTTCGTCGCTGTCCACGTAGGCGCCGGATACCACGCGCCGTCGAATGAGAAAGCTCTCCGATTCGCCATGAAACGCGCATGCATCGCCGCCGCCTCCATCCTACGGAAGGTCTCTCTCCCCAACTCTCTGCACTGAAAAATTGAATCTTGGCCCCCTCTCCCTCTTTCTTTCTTTCTCTGTACGTGTTTTCTGTGCTGAATTCTACTTTCGTGTTTTTTTCCTTTTAATTTTAGGGTCCCGGTGGATGTATAGATGCTGTCACCGCAGCGGTTCAAGTGTTGGAGGTAATTAACTAATTATGTGAGCTATTGGTTCATATGATTCGCAATTTTTCGGCATATTCCATCATTGTTTTGATGATACAGGATGATGGTCTCATTCAAAATAATGTGATTGGCTAAGTGGAGGAAAATTTGTTAATGGTTGAAGGGAAAATTTGTCCTAGATTATGTGTATATATTGTTTGGTAGAAAGGGCATCACTTCAATTTTCAACACCTCAAGATGACAATATAGCTTAGCATTATTTGAATTTGTGTAGCAATTTGAACTCTTAGCAGCTGTATTTGAAATTCGTAATCTAGCTACAAGACACACTAAGGGTCCGTTTGGTACACGGAATTGGAATTGAATTGAAATTTGAATTCTATAGCATTGACTTAGATGGAATTGAATTCTCCAATTTCAATTCATTTTTTTCACTACTGATTCCAAATCCACATGTTTTTTTGTTACCAAACAACAGAATTGGAATGGAAGTCTCCACTTCCAATTCCATGACTCAAATTCCGTGTACCAAACGGAGCCTAACAAAAATTGAATGGAAAGTTACAAGCTTCTAGCGTTTGATGGTATCATATGGGACAATTTATCTGTGAAAGGTATTAAGAAGGATTGTTATTATTATGTAATCAAAGAAAGGCTTTGTTATGTTATAAAGGATAGTGATTTATTTCTCTTTGCAAGTGGAATCCCTAAAGATTTGATTATTAAGTGGGCTACTCCTTCAGGACGATCCAAATACAAATGCCGGGCGAGGTTCAAATTTGACTGAGGATGGTTATGTGGAATGTGATGCAAGTATTATGGATGGTGATTCCGGAGCATTTGGTGCTGTAGGGGCAGTGCGAGGTATGCTCATGCCAATATTTTACTTTATTCAGCCTTTTGTTTATTTTTTTATTTATTTATAAAATATTGCAATTGATGTTCTTTCCTTTCGAACATTGTATTTCACTTGTAATCACTATACATTTTTTGTGAAGTTAATTTTGGGCAGGTGTTAGAAATGCCATCCAGATTGCTGCATTATTAGCAAAGGATCAGCTTTCTGGTTCAACACTGCTAGGGCGGATATCCCCTATGTATGATTACCCTTTTTACGAAATCTTGTTGCATTCTTCATCAAATGAATTTGCCTCATCTTGGCGTTGAGTATCATACATTGGTTTTCTTTGAGTAATGTATAAATGTGACCTCATATTTTGAGGATCCTTTTGAGGCAAGACCCAAATATAAAATGATATCAGAGTCTAGTTCGATGGTGATTTCTTGGATGTGTACCCACTCAATGGTTTGGGGGTTAATTTCGCCTATTTGTCCATTGGTTGTCTACTTGGTTTGAGTCCAACATATAAGTATGAGGTGAATCCCACCTTTTAAGAAATAAGAGTCCATTTCGGGTGACTCAAGCTCTATCTAACATATCTGAGTGTGTTCTGATGGTGCTTACATACTGTTGTGTAGGTTTTTAGTGGGTGAAGGTGCACGAGCATGGGCAAAATCTAGAGGTGTTGCTCTACCAGAATCAATAAAAGAAGCCGAAGAGGTTTAATTATTCTTTCCACTCTCTCTCCCTCTCACATACACACAGATAGAGTGAGTGCAAAGGGTTAAAGTTACAACAAATTTTTATATATCAATTCTTACAAGACTCATATCTTTCATTGGGCTTATTTTCCTGCAAAATCCACCATAGGATTGAAAGGTAATTACTCATAGAATAGATCATACTCCTAAAGTTTCAAAAGAATCCAAGATCATTTCGTATTAAATCAATCAACTCGTATTCCAACATGTTTTAAGCGTATATATTACATAACCTATCGAATGAAGTGCAAAATGATTTTGGATCCTTGTGAAATTTTAGAATGATACATGAATAACTAACGTGGATCTTGCCTGAAAATACTCCCAATGAAGGATATATTCGGTGGGTTTTGCATGAAAATATTCCCAATGGAAGATACGAGTGTTATAATATTTGATGTATAAAAGTTGGTTGTAACTTTAACCCTGAAATATGGATTGTTGAGTTCTGCTACTTACATGCTTACGTGGTTGTTTCTTAACATAGACTCATAGAGAATGTTACTTCATTTGTTTCAAAATATCCGTAACTGTTTTGTTAATGTTCTCTTCAAAGTTTGCACTTTTCGAGTTTGTTTTTTATGTTAGACCTCATTTATTGTTATTTAATACGGAGTATCATTCATGGCCGAAAAAGGTTTTCTATTTCAATATAAAGGGGACTGTGGTCATTTTATAGACATAATTCTACATATTAAAGGAGTTTCATAATGTATGTGTGATACAACCTTAAACAAAATAACAAAATTCAAATGGAAGGGTAATAGTGTTCCTTATTATATTGTTGAGACAGTTGCTTGTGACTGAGAGGACCAGAAACCTGTGGAGAAAATACCGAGGGATGCTTGATGGTGCTAAAGCTGTTAATGATGTTTCTTTCACACCAAGCACTTACAATCCTATAGGACCTTGTGCAGTTTTAGGTATAAATCTGGGTACATTAATTCCACTTTTATGATGTACAGATGAATTTGAATACGTGTTAATGCATTTTTTGCCGTATCTATAGAGGCTCGATTGCATGATGAGTTAAATGGAAGCACAAGTAGTGACCAATTTTCCTTGCAAAAGAACCCAGATGAGGACTGTGTTAGTGACACTGTTGGAGTAATTTGTGTTGATTCAGAAGGTCACATTGCATGTGGGGCCTCAAGTGGCGGTATTGCCTTGAAGGTCACAATTCTTTGTTCTACTTCTAGTTGCTCTATGGGTCATAGTCTTATCATTGTTCTATTATGTTTAAGGGTTATGCTAAGCACAACCCTAATGGCCGTGTTTAAGGAAACAACGGGAGCTTCCCATTGTGTTCGATATATTTTTAAGTGTAAATTTTACATCACATTTCATTACGTCTTTTCCCAACTGCATTTTATTTATTTCCTTAGCTTTTATGTCTAGCAAGGAGAAGGTGTAAGTACTGTCAAAAAGTTTATTACTCCCTCCGTCCCATTTTAAATTGCATGTTTTCCTTTTCCGTCCATCCCAAAATAAGTTGCCTGTTTCTTATTATAGTAAACATTTAAAGGAAAAATACCTAAACTACCCCTAAAATAAGCCACTCCTCTCCACCTTATCTTCTCATTCATCGTCACCCCCTTAAAAAACTAAGGACATTTTTGGAAAATCAACATTATTTTTTCCATTCCTTAAATATGCCCATAATTCAAAACGGGCAATATAAAATGGGACGGAGGGAGTACATGTTTGGATTACTGTTTCTTTGAATGTAGTTAAATGCACAACAGGTCAGTGGACGTGTTGGTTTAGCAGCAGCATATGGTTCTGGATGTTGGGCATCATCAAAGGGACAGTTTGGAGCCCCATTTATAGTCGGTTGTTGTGTTAGTGGTGCTGGAGAGTATCTAATGAAAGAATTTGCTGCTAGGGAATGTTGTGTATCCTCATCTGTGTAAGTTTTACTCCGTACATTGTAATGATAAACTGTTGGGAGAAAGACCAAAGTAGGACTAAAACATTGAAAATATACTAAAATAGGACTTCCATGTTTTTATTCCCGAAATAGGACTTACATTACCAAACATGGTCATATACATTACCAAAAAAGTATAGTAATATGCACGTGTACACTGCCACATTACCACAGTGCAAAGTCCTATTTCAGGGAAAAAAATGAAAGGCCTATTTTGGTACTTTTCTCTATGTTTTAGTCCTATTTAGGGTGATTTCTATAAACTGTTGTTGGATTTTTAATTGATTCACCTTGTTTTTGGTAGATCTCAAGCTGGACCGGCATCTGCTTGCACAAAAGTTCTACGCTCTGTCACTCTAGAAAACGGTAGTGACTATGGCTCTGACAGAAGTGGTGGAATATTACTAGTTCAAGCAGAGGCTTCTCGAATGGTGAGACAATATCCAAAACTTATGGCACGTTTGGTAGGAGTTATTTTGCTGAAATGACAAAATCTAAATCCACTGAATTTTCTGAAAAGAAAAAGTGTTTGGTATACTATAACCCATTTTACCAAAGTCAATTGCTACATATTCTGCTCATAACCGGAATAATTCAGAAAAAGGCTACCAAACGGAGCTTTAATCTCCCTTCACACAAAAAGCTTTGTATTCACACCCACTGATTGCACTTAAGGTTGCTGCTGGAAACTTGCCCTTGCTGGAAGCCGTTGAAATTGCAGCTGCATTTTCTTCTTTGTCATTCGGAATTGGGTATTTCGGAAGCTCATTGGAGAAGCCCAAGGTATCATCATATGACTTCTTTCCTTTCAGACTTTTTCTTGTTTTGTTAGAGAAGAAAAGAAAACTATAACGAAAAGGAAATGAGAGGAAAAAAATACTACTCCCTCCATCCCAAAAAGAGTTGCATGTTGTTGTTTACAAAGTTTGGCTGAAGTTATTTTCAATTCAACTTATTTGAAAATTAGCAAGGAATTAAAAAATAAAACTTATATATTTAAAAACTACATCAAACTTTCTACAAAACAAAAGGTGACAAGACTATATTATTTTCTCAAATGGGTTGCGAAAATAGGTCAAGAACGTAGTTAAAGTTTGACCTAAATTGGGAAGGAGGGAGTAAGCGAGAAAACAAGTTTCCTTCCAAACATAGCTTAGGGAAACAAAGAGATTGGGCCTGTTTGGGAATAGCGTTAGCGATTAGCGTCAACGTTTTGAAAAGGAATCTACGGGCAGCGTTTAGCGTTAGTGTTTTCAAAATAATCTGCACTGTTAAAATTTTATCCAAAACGCTAACGCTAATCTCTAACATTATTTCCAAACATGCCATTTGTAGTGTTTCATGGGTAATTGTTGTGCTTATGTTTGTATTGTTCAAACACGCGGATATCTATCTGATTCATCTTCCTCCCATGACCACACCTTCATTTACAGGTTTCTATCCTTAGAAGCTCAAAGAAGCATAGCAGAAATGGGTTAAATGAGTTTGCAGCGCGAATCAAACTCCTACCGTAGATCTGTTTTTACTCATTCTGCAGGTGAATTTCTGTTTGCTGCAATAAAAAATCTAGGTTTTGGAGTGAAATGTGCAACTCAGGTATTGAGATGATATGGGAGCTGTAATCAGGGTGTTGCTAAATCCACACCCATTTTGACTAAATCCACCCCTTTTATGTTAAATGTACAAGTTTGCCCTTAAAAATTGACTTGGATCAAAATGATCTCTTTTGTATTTTAAGGGTAAAATCGTCAATTTAACACAAAAAGAGTGGATTTAGCGGAAATGGGAATGAATACAGCAACACCCCTCTAATTATTACTTCATCCATCTCCCATTTTATGTGTTGTATTATGTTAAATAATGTCCATTTTCTCATTATAGGAATCACAAAATATTCTCAATTCACCTATTTTCCTTTACTTTTGACTAAATTGGATTCATCCATATTACATTAATCAGATTGTGTGGCTTTTGCATTGAGCTCTAGTAACACCCTATATAAAATAAATGGGCATGAATTTTCTTCATACCATGTCTATCGAGTCCGCTTTTTGTGCCAAATATTTGAATAATTTATGTACTCTGTATAAAAATATACAACGAATTAAAATATAAAAAGTACACTATAGTATTAGTATCGATAAATACTTCAAATAATTTTTGTTTATATATTTTACTACCCACTACAATAGCTTCCCACTCATTGAGTCGTGTTGCAAGGGGGTTTTGTTTACCAATGCCTGAACCTATGGTCATAACTCAAGCATAGAGTGACCATAGAAGTGAATCCATTGGAACCAAAGCTACCAACAAAACCACTCAGTATATTTCTCACTTCTATTTACATAACTCCAGTAGAGTGATTATAGTGTGCGAGTTTTGGATCGCCGTTAAAAAGTTAACGGTCACTTAATGGATTTTTTGAAAAATGTCTATTTTTCACAAATAAATGAAAGGTGGGATTATTTCAGACAAATTTATGTTTTTCTTATTTTAATTTTAAATTTTAAATTTTAAATTTATGTTTTATAAAAATATAACACTACACTATTATTAGGGATTTGTCTTGATTTTTTTAAAATATAACGATTTGCATGATTTTGTTTTTTGTTCTGGGAGAAATAAAATATTGGATTATCGAAAAATAATTAAGAGTATCGCTCGAGAAAGAAGTTGCAATACAAAAAAAATGTAATGAGTTGTAAAAGTAATTAGTGCCATTTTGGAGAAAAATAATATTGTGCCATTTTTAAAACTTTTAAATTATTATTTTGGGGAAAAAATTTGTACTGAAGTATCGAAAAAAAGCACAAGTTAGGTAGTTTCATTTTAGAAAAAATAATATAGGTAATAGAAGATTATCAATAAATATTTTTGAGTGTTGTTCATGAGAATTGCCTAAAATAATCTCACATTTTATTTATTTTTGAAAAATATGCATTTTCCAAAAATTTCATAAAGTGCCCGTTAGCTTTTTAACGGTGATTCAAAAACTCACACACATGCGAAAATGTGAGATTATTTCTGGTGATAGTGAAAAGTGAGACTTATTTTGAAAGAATGCGAAAATATGGGATTATTTGAGATAATTTTTCGTTTACATATTTAAAAACTATATCAAAATATCTATAGAACTAGTGATGACATGACTATATTATCTTATTAAATGACCCACAAAAATAAGGAATGAAAGTTTGACTCTATGAATGATAAACATACAATTTAATTTGTGACAAATGGAATAGTTTTGATATATCAATTTTTTGTATCATTTATTTATTTAGATTATGTTTTATTTGTTCAAAGAGTGATACTGTTTGACCAAAAAAGTCAAAATAGGAAATATTTTGCTAAAGTCAAAAATGGTTTTAAAACTTTGTTAAAGTTTAACCCAATGAATACTAAACATGCAACTCAAATTAGGACGGATGAAGCAAAATTTTCTAGAAAAAAGGTACGTAGAAATATTTTTATTAATGAAAAATAACAAAAAAATATCATGTACATTATTACAAAACTATTTGGGATTACAGAGAAACTGACAAGAATGAAGAATCATACGGTACAAAACAGATTTGCACAATCAAACTCAATAAACTCAATAGCACATATGTGTAGACCTGACCCCGGGGTAAAGAGGCCATTTCCAAACATTAGCACAAAAAATGAAAATGTCCTCAAATTTCCCAACGTAGATATGGAAATGTTTTTCAAATTTCCCAAATGCATTCGAGTCCTGAATAATTACTTCATTGAGCAAAGAAAAAAATCAAAGATCAAATTCTTTTTATTTATTTATTAAAGTCGTAAACAGTACACAAAATATCCTATAAAAAACCAGAGAGATTTCTTTCTCATAGCTCTCCTTGCCAATGAAAACTTAATCCATCTTGATATGAACGCCGACATTACACAACAACAACAAACCCAGTAAAATCCCACTTGTTGGGGGTATAGAAAAATCCCAAGGTATGTGTGAACGTCGACATTTGTTTTACCCAAATGAAGAACTTTTACTTGCACTTACCGTTAGAAGTAAAACCGGTGCTGTCGATGAATGTCAAAACTCAAGAGAAGTTGTGAATCCGTTTGGCCGATGTGAGGGTGTTGGAAAGAAGCATTGCGATAGTCATGGGTCCAACTCCTCCCGGAACTGGAGTTATTGCTGATGCAACCTTTCTGGCTTCCTCATAACAAACGTCCCCTACTAGGAGATATCCTCGGGGATTTGTAGTGTCCTGTCATATCACCCACAAGGTTGATTATGTAGGTTTTGTTTACTAGTCTTATTCTACTTATACAGCAACAACAACAAATCCTGTAAAATCCCACAAGAAGTAGGGTCTAGGGAGAGTGTGTGATGGTAGACCATACCCTTACTTGGTAGTAGAAAGGCTATTTCAAAGACACCCCAGGCTTAAACATAGAAGCATAGGCAAACAATAGCCGGCCTTATCCGTACTTGGCTTATTGTACTTATAAGTAGAATAAAAGTCTGCTTGTAGCGAAGTGTGACTTATTCTACTTATCTTGTTCATGATACTTAGGGTTGACAGTCTAATCCTTACCCGATGGATATCCAAACTACCCGACCGGGTATAATGGATGAAAACTTGATAAAACCTAGCTTTGAAGGAAAATGATTTTACCAAAAGTTGTTCTTAACCAAAAGTTTTTCATTAAAAAAATCAGCAAATCCAATCATATCTGCTGAATCACCAAACGGCTATTTGACTTGTTCGGCTGAAATGGATGTCACCAAATGTCTATCCTTTAAGAAAAATCAGCAGATTAAGGCACAATTTGAGCCAAAAATCTTTTGACTAACAGGCCTCTAATGTAATGAGTTGGAATAATTCTCATAAAATGACGAATGATAGTGCTTTCGTGTGGGCTGTTGGAGTGGAATGTGCAGGACTGAAAATGAGATTCAAAAGAAGAAGAAGATTTCACACCTCAACAGGATTAATGCCAACATCAATGATAACTGCACCAGGCTTGATCCAGCTACCCCTGACCATGTTTGGTTGCCCAGCAGCCGAAATGATGATATCTGCTTGTTTTATAATTTCCTCGGGCTTCTTTGTTCTAGAATGTACAATACTGACAGTAGCATCCTCCCTCTACGAATGGAAACAAAAATAGAACACGATTATTACAATCCGAAAAATACAAAACTGAATTGCTATAATATAATTGAAGAATGTTTTGGGAGTATGAAGTTCACTAAAGGTCTACTCGGATCCCGGAAAATACTAGTAAGTGACAAAAAGTCTTTGAAAAAGTATTGGCACCGGGGGGGGGGGGGGGGG